TTCATAGGTCCTTTAATACCAAGTTGGGAGAAGCCACATCAAGGATTCCATTTCAAGTCCAGAACCCTGCCGATAAATTTGACTTAGGAAAAAAAAAAAAAATTTGACTTAGGAGACTGATTGGTATATTGTGGCTGAAAGTAAGAGAATGAACCACTGGCAGGAAGACTTCAGCCAAGGAGAGAATTGCGATGTTTCCTTGACTTAGGTCGCTCGGACCCTCTCTCCCTCATCGTGCTTCCCTCCAGATGGCGAGAGCTTTATGCGGCAAAGCCTGGGAGTGGAAATGCTGGGTCAAAGCATAAGAACATTTTTCGAGTTTCTATTTATGTGCATCAATTGCCCAAACAGGTGTTTGATTTGCAGTCGATCCATAAAATTGATGTAACAATTTTTAACGTATCGTGTGGCAAATTATATCTCATTATTTTAATTTGCATGTCTTTAAATGTTAGTAAGGAAGCTTTTTATGTATTTATTAACCATTTTACTGCCTGTTTTTTAAATGGCCTCTTCATCTCCTTTACTCAATAGGCCATTTAAAAAAATAATCATCGCATAACTATAATTAAATGAAAGGCCACCGTTTCTTGGAACAGATTGTTTCCCTGTATTTTTTTAAAGAAGGGTACTGAACAAAAATGTTAACATTATCAGGTAGTGATTTAACTTGGAGAATCACAAATTTCTCTATTCAATATTTTAAAGCACAAGGCTTCTATTTCTGTCCTAAGAAGGGAGTGGTGAATGAGAAGCTAAGAAGCAAAGATGATGGCAACTCCAGAGTCCAGCCCAGGCTGCTGTGCTCCCCAAGCGTGCTCTGGCCAGGGGTAATGGGTATCAGTGTACAGGGTCATAACTCTGTGGTGGTACCTGAAAGCATGTTTTTGCAAATTGAATTAAAATTTCTCTCCCTGGTTATGCTACTGTCTGTTCTAATTTGTTGCAATTAACAGGACTTCCAAGTAGAAGAAACTGGATTTTTAAAAGTCATGGAATAGAGAACTACCTTTTATTTGACCAAGAAGCATATGAAAATATCCTCTACATCGTCAGTCAACAGAGAAGTTCAAATCAAAACCACGAGGAATTACCTCACACCCATGAGGATGGCTACCATTAAATAAATAAATAGATAGTCCAGGTTGGAGAGGATGTAGAGAAATTGGAACCTTTCTGCTCTGTTGGTGGAATTGTAAAATAGTGCAACTATTATGGAAAACAGTATGGAGTTTTCTCAAAACGTTAAAAAAATGGAACCACCATATGATCCAGCAATCCCACTTAACAAATTTCAAAAATGATCTTAAAGACATATTTCCACTCTCATATTCATATCAGCATTGTTCCTGACAACCAAGAGGTACAGGCAATCCAAATGTCCACTGATGATGAATTTTAAATTGTTGTACATCCATACAACAAAGTGTCGTTCAACCTTAAAAAGGGAAGGAAATGTCACAACATGAATGAACCTTGAGGACACTACCTTGAGTGCCATAAGCTCATCACAAAAAGACAAATACTTATAATGAAGACTCTAACGTAGTCACATTCATGGAAGCAGAATGTGGGATGGTTGGGGGGGTGGGCGCAGGGAAGCGGGGGCGAAGGGTGAAAAGAGTTGTTTAATGGAACAGTTAGTGTTGCAAGATAAGACAGTACTGGAGATGTGAATATATTTAACACTACTGAACTGTACACTTAAAAATGGTTAAGATGAATAATTTTGTTACTTTTTTAACCATTATTTTTTAAAATTAGGTTTAAAAAAATTACTTTCATTAAACATTCTCCAGAAATTTAACAGGAAGTTAATTTCCGACACAAGAGGCTTCTAGGGGAGCAAGGACAGAAAACTAACGGGTGCTTGGTACCTACGCCTGTGCCTTTTCCTTCGCTACAAGGAAAAGCAGGCAGGCGCTGCCCCCACCCCCCTCCCCCAATGCCCTAGGGAAGAGGAGCCGCCTCCAGCCCAGTGGCTCTCACTTGCCAGGTGAGTCCAGGCACCCCAAGATGGGCAGCGGTGCCCACAGCTGCAGGCTGCACCACACTCGGATCCACTTTAGGTAAACCCTGAACATGAGGAACAAAATAAGGCAAAATCAGGGTTCATGGCAGAAAGGGCTGGTGGAAGGGACCCACAAACTCAAGACCCCCTTTCCGAGATGTAAGAGAAGCGTCATTTATTAGTGAGAGATTCAAATCCTCAGAAAAGGAAGGGGGAGAGCATGAACAGAGAGGTCAGGGGCCAGGGGTCAGGCCTGCATGGCCAAATCCCAGCTTCCTTTCTTAATTTTCTCAAGCAGGTTCAAAACTAAGTGAAGTCGATTCTCAGTTTATTGTGAGTCTTTTTTATTTACAGAATAAGTCTTTAAAAGGTCAAGGCAGTTTTATCTCTTAAATAACATGTCAATCATATAAAACAACTGGAACCAAAGTAGAGAAATATATACAATATCATACATTAGGTATTTTCAGTATTGTTCATTGAATTTTCATACTAAGTTAAAAGAGGCTATTATGATTTACAATATCATTTCTCTAGTTAAAATTAAACCTGTCCAAAGACAGAATGTACATTTTTATAAAACCAGCACAGAAGCATTAATAAAAATGCTCATGATTGTAATTTTAATTTTTCTATAATACACTGCACCCGTGTTACACAAACAAACAAAAAAAGGCATTGCACTAGATGCTTTGAATACTGCGTAAGTCAGTATGTTAACACTTGAGGAGTAATGAATGGCCGATCTCTTTCACTGACAGGCTCATTCACAATAGCTTCCACTCTATTAACCAAGCAGACTTTCTACAGATAGACTCCTTTCCGTGGCAGTTATAACAAGCCCACTGCTAGTGGGTAAAATGCCAAAGAGAAACTGATGCCACAAAAACCAACACAACCCTATTATTTACACTATCCAATAACAGCTAAAGTTAGAAAGCCACACTGCTGGATCAAGGAAAAAAATTATAAGTAGGACATTTTATAGGAAATGTTTAGTGTCTAAAAATTTAAAATATTCAATAAACTGTAAAAGGACTTGCAACAGCTTATCCCTCTCATTTTTCTTAGGTTTGGGTAAGAAAAAAGTAAATACTTTTTTATTTTTAATATAGTTTTGATGGCATCAAAAGGCTTCAAATTTATAAAGGAGATTTTTATATAATGCAACATGTTTAGTTTTCTTGTGCTACTATCAATTATTTCCAGGATTCATATTTAATTCTAAGGAAGAAAATATTAAGATTTCTTCCATATTCTTCACTTTTCAGCATTAATATTTTCTAGGCCTTGAAAGCGAACTCAAGGAAGGTAAAGTCAACCAGTGGTTAGCACTGAGCAGCACAATAGTTCAAACACCTTAAATATTGGGTGGCCTACACAGGAGCAGCAACAAATTAAAGTTTATATTTCCCCTTCATTACAACAGTTTTAAAAGGATAGCAAGTATTGCTTCAGTTTACATTGGAACTTTTTTAGCCAAAAAATTAGCTAAGAGGCAGCAGTGCTTTTTAAAAAATAGTTCTTAAAAGTCGTGGACAAGGAAAACATAATCAGCAAGACACATAATTATTGTCAGGCGCTGTTCCAGTGGCGGATCCAAGGTACACATGTGGTACTGAGACCAAAACAAAGAAACACCATCATCACAGGTGTTCATGACTGGGGGTGCAGGAAATGGACAGGACAAATAACCCACAGCATCCTGAGAGAAAAAACCAACAGAGAAGTCAAAACAGTGATTGCATTCCAAACGGGATGTAAAAACCATTGCTCCTGGACAGGCAAGTTGATGTTCCCGAGGTGTCACTCCTGTACCTACTATACTGGTCTTTCATATGGACACTAACATCACCACGTGTTGTTGTTTTAAATGCTTATCATCAGATCAGTCCTAAGTCCTTGGTCAACTTGTTTCTAGTTCAAAACAAACCATGTTTTTAATAAGCACCATACACCAAACTAACGTTTTCATTCTCTAAAGCGACTTTTCCAAAATGTTCCCATTTCCGGTCTATAGTCTCTGTAACTGCAATGTGTCCAGCTTTCTTTGTCTTCCTATGTGAAAGTTACAAGAGAAATGTGCTATTATAGGAAGCCTGAAAAGAGTAGAACACTCACAACTTTATAAATCCCCCCAATTATCCTTTTTATGCAAAGAAGCCAAGAGGGAATATTCAGGTTACGTTGTTATTATTATGTTTAGTACTTCGGATAACTTTTTAAACAACCTATTTTTTTTTAATGTATCTTTATTGATTTCAGAGGGTTCCTGCACACCTCCAACTAGGGATGGAGCCCTCAACTCGGGAATGTGCCCTTGACCGGAATCGAACCAGGGACCCTTCAGTTCACAGGCCAATGCTCTCTATCCACTGAGCAAAACCAGCTAGGGCCACCCTGGGTATTTCTTAGATAGATGTCACTTAAATTGCTGGTTATATTGAAATAGACACTTTACCTCTACAAAAAAAATGAACAAGTGCTTCCCTTTCACCCAATTTCTTGGATTGGGCCTAAATTATTTTTTACATTTAAAAAAACTCCTTCATTAACCATTCGCCCTTTGGGGACTTAGTCATTATAAGACTCATTTACTAATGTTGTCCTTGAAAGTTAAGAGGAAAAACCTAGAATAAGAGCATGTGCAAGTAAGTGCTGTTTAACATATTAACTGCACAAAAGTTGTAAACAAACTTGAAAAACAGCTCCAGAAAAAAAGGCTTAAAGTTAATAGCAGCAGCCTCTTGCCAGCCACAGAGAAGTAAAGACAGAACCTGAGAAACATCAAACGTACTGGAAAGATACAGGGCAGGGAAGAATTCCTGATTTAAGTCACATTCCTCTGTAAAACAAGAAGAGGCTGTGTCCATCTGTTTAACTGGCCATTCAAAGAATTCACAATTTTTTTTTAAGTCTCAAAAATCTTGATACTAGGCAACATTAATTACATAAGAACCACCCCCCCCCCCCCCAGAAAAATCCCCCCCCCCCCCCCCCCCCGAAATCTCACCAGCTCTACAAATGCTTTTTAAGTGAAGAATATATCAAATGTGATGCCCAGTCACAGTCTATGAGACATTGTTTTCTTAGCAGGACTGTTAGCAAATTTGACAACCTACTTTTCACCCTAGCTCCTCAACTATAACCATGTATTTGTCCTTAGCCCTTTGAAATGTGTCTATACTTCTGCTTAAGTGAAAAAGAAATCCATGCCACTTTTCAGTCCAGGGAGAGCCAATTTGTAGACATTGAAAACCAAAATGCAAATCCACGGAATTTTAACCCTCAGTTACAGATGGCCCACACAGACGCAGGACTGAAAGGCTTTGGCAAATAGTGGTGAATGTGACAAACAAGTCAAATGTAGCTTATTGGTGGTCCGTTGCTCCAGCCCCCTGTCCTTCACGGTCCACTTCAAAATAAGTGTTTCATTTCAGCAGTTCAGACCTAAACCTGTCCAGTGGTCCGGGACCATCAGGAAATACTTGTCCATTGCTTCACAAAATCTAGTCCTGTACAGCTCTGGAGAGACCACAGTTGGCATTTTACCTAAAATTATGAAACAGGAAAGGGAAAAGAAAACCATCACATAAGTGATCAGGCAACTCACTTCAAAAGCTGTCCTTTCATGTAAACTGCATACCCCGCAGCAGTCTGAGCCACGACATGGGACAGGTCCTTCTTGGTAGGAGTTCCTATTTTAAAAGATGAGCTCTTGCCTAGAGGGATGTGTACAGCACAAAAGGGCCAGCAGTGCACATAGATCTCAGAAGACTTCAAGTGTTAATTCCAAATAACCTTATTCAGAACCTCTGGCCCCCCTTTTTTTAACTTTCCATTTTGAGAACCTCTGGCAATTTAATACAAATTAAAACTCAGTATTTACTAACCTACAACTCCTATTATTTGATCATTTTGGAAATTATGATAAAGTCAGAGGTAACCACTAATTTTTTTGGAATTAAAAATGTATCAATTTTTTAAAATGTTAACTGATAAGGAAAGCATGAGAATAGTTTAAAGAGAAAACAAAACAAAAACTGCTCACCTTGTCCTCCTAAAATTCCTGTTGATTTCACAACCATCTCAAGCTTTTTGTCCCATGTAAATGTCCGAATATAATCTGTTGCAGAAAGCAAAATCAGCAATAAAGTTTCACCAATAATATAAGCAAAGGACATTAATAATTACTATTACTTCTACAATAGTTAACATTTACTGAGTCCTGACAGCATGTGATGTGCCCACAATATGCCAGGTACCCTTCTAAGGATTTTTCCCCATATCATAGGCCTTCCTTTTTAAGTGACTTTTTGGCCTGGGCCAGTGTGCACAGTGGTTAGAGAGTAGGCCCATGCACTAAAGGGTCATGCGTTCGATTCCCAGTCAAGGGTGCAAACTGAATTGCAGGTTCAATCCAGTTGAGGTGCCGGCAGGAGGCAACCAATCGATGTCTCTCTCTCACATTGATCTATCTCTCTCTACCCCCTTCACTCCCTCTCTTTCACTCTCTCTAACAATCAATTGAATAAATATCTTTGGGTGAGGATTAGCAAAAAATAAAAATAAATGACTTTTTGAATGCAGATATTTTGGGTAAAGATAATAAAAATGGAAATGAGGCGACTGAATAGAGGTACTATTTATATCCTAGAATTTAAAATCTATTATTTTGAAATTTTTAAATGAAACTTGATAAAAATATTCAATAAGCTATTAGTAGACCAGGTTCAGTATAATCTTCAAATTTGACTCTGGTTTCAATCATGAACCATAAGTGAGGTACGCTTATTGACTTACCTATAATCCCAACAACCAGCTCATTGCTGGTATCATCTCGTCCAACCAGCAAAGAATAATCTATAATGAGGTGGCTAGAAAGGAAGTGGGAGTCGCTGCGGATCGAGGCTCTCAGCACCGCTTTGGAATGAGAGCGGATATACAGAGGGTTGTCTCGGACCATCTTCAGGAGGTTCTCATCCAGCAGCACTACATCACAACTCTCCTTCCCCGTGTCAGTTTTCACATTTCTGTTCCTAAGTGAGCCCTTTAAATCAAACACCTGGCAGAAAGGAAATTCAGTCACATCGGAGTTGCTACAAATGATTAATGCCATTAAAGTAAAAAGCCAGAGGGTTCCCTATAGCCACTGCCATTATTCACACCTACATTTAATTTAAAAACTTAACCTATGTCATTAAATGCATGCATTATAATTGTGTAATACATAAAATACATGTGATATAATTATATCATATGAAATTAATACCAAGTACTCAGTTACTGAAACATTTAAAAAATAACTGACCCACTTAATCAACGTTAACATCAATAAGTAACTCCAAAAATACATCACTGGATTGAAAGGCAGTTTAGGAACCAGATGCAAATATTCTTAGGAAACTTAAAAGTTTTGATTCCAAAACTTTATGTGATTACTTATGGCAACAGAGAAGCAACAGCCCACCTTGAGGAATTTTGGGGTAGTGGCAATGGTCAGGGACTTGGGGACTAGACCAGTGCAGCCTGAAGTGTACTGGACAGACCATCGCTAGTAGGTTGCTCCTGGCTAGTGATGATGTAATGCACATCAATTACATGAGGAAGCATAGTTTAGTTCAGCAGCTGTTTTTCTCATATCATAGCAAGACATTCCCAATGAAGAAAGTAGTGCACTGAATTGCATTCCAGTACAAGCTCCGCATCTCACCACCAACTGGAAACAGTTCAAAGACCAGCACTTTAAAGAGTACTTACTGTTCTGGAAAGGAGACCAACCTGGTTCTAGAAATATCTGTGACTACCATAAAGTACTTCATTTCTGTGGGCCTTCGTTTCTTCATGTTTAATACTGAAATGGCAGAAGTACATCTGCCTTCTAATTCTATAATTCTGTGTTTCTAGGACACTGGAGATGCTAAATTTTAGGACTAGTCTACAATATTCCTCTTTATTCTTCCCTTATAAGGTTCAACAAACCCAAAGTTAAATTTGACCAAGCAACCAAATTCTAACATGTACTGTCCAACAAGAAGCTGTTCTCTGATTCATTATATTCACAAACCAGAAAAACAAAGGGTTCCAGTAGCTAAATGCTTTGCATCGTCCAACACCCTTACCTGTGCCATCTTTCTCCCATAGAAAAGATTTTCCATGACAAGGAGATCTAACTTCTTCTCAGTGTTGTTCTGAGAATTCTTATAACCAATTCTGTAAACTCCAAGAATTTTGGCTAATGCAGTGGGCCTCTAATCAAGAAAAAATGAGAGTAAATTCTTATCAAAAAGGATTATTTGTAAATTTAATACCAATATCTGGGTTTTTCATGTTATACCCAATTACGATCTTTTCTTAATATGAACAGTCTGAGGGCCTTAAAAAAACTAACTTGAAGCTCAGAATCAAGTAAAGCAGCAACGCCACTGAACATACTAGATCCTCTACATCCTCCCAGGGGATAAGCCCCCACAAATGTTCAAATCTACAAGTTTTATTACGACACTGAATTTCCCCGGGGACTGCAATAAACCATAAAAGGGAAAAGGATCCACGTGACTCCCCATACTTTTGCCGGCAGGGTCACTCCTCAACGGCAACGGACAAACCTGGCCACAGGCTCCTCTCTTTCTGCCTAAGGAACCCATGCCCTCATTTTTCAACACTTTTCAAATTTCTGTCTCAGCAAAATTACAAATTATTAAATGTTCAGCTATTTTCATCCAGTCTTGATGTTTTTAATCGACATATATATACTAATTAAATGCAACTTCCTTGAGATCTCTTGGCTCCTCAGTGGCAAGGTAGGAGGAGTTTGAAATCACTGCTATCCCATCTCTGCAGCACACCAGAGATCCAGCATGGCCTGTCCACATCTTACCACAGAGAAAACTCACATCAGGACCAGCTCTGAGGATGTAAAGGCCCAGTGACTCTAGCTATAGACCGAGGTTTGGGATGCCTACCTTTTGTTGAACAGCGTTTGTAATGTAACTGAAGTAGTGTGGTGCGAAGTCGAGGAAAGACTGCACTTCCAGACGAGGCATTTGCTTCAAAATGAATCTATCATCTAAAAGGCAGAAATCTCATGGTTAGTCAATCACAATTATTCACTGAGATGATCTACAATAAATCATTCCAAAGACCCCAAATGACTTACTTGTTTCCTGTTTTAATTTAAGAGATACTTTCTGATGTCACAGAGAAAATCCTCATCAGAACACAGTTCTCAAGTAACTGAAGGGTGGGAAGGGCGTCATGTAGTCAAGAAGCCTCTTCTGAAAGTACCACCCCTAAATTCATAGTTGATCTGCCTTTTAAAACTAAAAAATTTTTAATAAAATTTTATAAATGTTTTCCTTTGTTAGCAATCCAATAAATTATAGTTATAAAAGCTCTTATCAAGCAATCTGACTGGATTATCTCCAGTGATTTTGCTCAGTGGGTGTGGAGAATGGAATGGAATGTGAAGTACAAATGGTCATGGCCTTCTGTAAGCCTTGATGAGTGAGGACCTTGGCCTTCCCACTCTCAGGTTAAATGTTTCTATTTTTATCTTTCTCTCATCAGTGCAGAAAGATACAAATCCTTTTTTATTTTAAGGAATTTTTACCCTATCTAATAAAAGACAAAAAGGGTAATTAATCATACCTCTGCTACGCTTCCCATTGGCTAATCAGGGCGATATGCAAATTAACTGCCAACCAAGATGGCGGCTGGCAGCCACGCAGCTGAAGCAAGCAGGAGGCTTGCTTGCTACAGTGATGGAGGAAGCCAAGGTTCCCGGCCTGCCGTGGCCCGGCTCTGAGCTCCAAAAGCAACGTTTCAATTATACAAGCTAAACAAACCCCAGATACCTGCTTTCAGCCAGCCGAGGCCTCAGAGCTGGGAGCGCCAGTGATGGCAATAATGTTTTAATTATAGAAGGTAAATAAATCTCAGAATAAAAAAAGAAAGAAAAAAAGGAGGCTGGGAGCTTCAGTCGCTGCCCAGCCTGAAAAAGGCCCTCAGCCCCTCACCCAGGCTGGCCAGGCACCCAAGCGGGCCCCCCACCCTGATCCGGGACACCCTTCAGGGCAAACCAGCCAGCCCCCACCTGTGCACCAGGCCTCTATCCTATATAGTAAAAGGGTAATATGCAAACTGACCCTAACAGCAGAAAGACTGGGAATGACTGGTCACTATCACACACACTGACCACCAGGGGGCAGACGCTCAATGCAGGAGCTGCCTTCTGGTGGTCAGTCTGCTCCCACATGGGGGAGCTCTGCTCAGCCATAAGCCAGGCTGATGGATGCCAGTACAGCGGTGGTGGTGGGAGCCTCTCCTGCCTCCTCAGCAGCGTTAAGGATGTCCAACTGCAGCTTAGGCCTGCTTCCTGCTGGCAAGTGGACATCCCCCAAGGGCTGCCGGGCTGCCAGAGGGATGTCTGATTGCCATCTTAGGCCCACTACCCTAGGGAGCAGGCCTAAGCCAGCAGGTGGTCATCCCCCGAGGTGTCCCAGACTGCGAGAGGACACAGGCCAGGCTGAGGGACACCCCCCAACCCGAGTGGACAAATTTTTGTGCACCGGGCCTCTAGTTTTTAAAATAATATTTTCCATTACCATTTATCCCCTCTATACCCTTAAATAGAGGAAGGGAGAAAGAGAGAGAAGCATTGATATGAGCAAAACAGTAATCAGCTGCCTCCTGCATGCCCCATAATGGAGAGTCAGCCCAAAACATGGGCATGTGGCCTGACCGGGAATCAGACCAGTGACTTGTCAGTGCACAGGACAATGCCCAACCAACTGAGCAACACAGGCCAGGGCTGAGGTACCTTTTGAATTATCTGGAAGTGCTCTGTTATTTGCATTTGGAAAACTCAGGACTAGAGAGAATTTAATACAAATCTGATCCATGTTTGTCTTTAATTACACACCCTATATATGTATATTCTTTTCAATATTTTATGACACAGCATAAAGTATAAACATAAAAACAGAAAACTCTGTTTGCCAACTGACATAACTTACTGCCTCAATTCAAGCCATTCATGAATTACGTGAGGGATAGAGAGATACCACTGAATCAGTAAATGACTAAAAGACTCACCTTCAGTGGCATAGAAGGCAGCCCCCGATTTGCCTCCACGGGCCTGCCAGGGTGATGAGTGCGAAAGGGATCGAATGAAATCTTCTTCACTGCTGCCCAAAATCACTTCCCGCATCTTATGAAATTCTCCCGCATAGTAGAGCCGACAATAAAACTTGGCGTTAGCATCAGAAAATTCTATAAACAGAAGTGTTAAAAAAAGCT